TCGCTTATAGTCGGTCGTAATGGGTCCAAGTGTTTCGAGCCATTGTACACCCAATACTACATCAGTTGCCTTGAGCGGTAAGGCGTAAAGATCAATTTCCAGCTCGTGATCCTGTGGCATAATCGGGACTTTCTTGAATAACTGATTACCTTGCAGCTCATGTCCATTGGCCACCTTGACACCAAACTTCTTGACTTTTGTAGGTACCAATTTCAGCTTCCTGGCTATCCCCTCATCAATAAAATTTAAACTCAACCCACTATCCACCAGTACCTCTAGCAACATATCCTTGAATTCAGCCGTGAATCTGATCATCCTAGGACCATGCTTATTGCACTTAACCATATGCAACCAGGACTCTTCTTGTGGCTTTTCTTCCTCTCGTTCCTCCTTAATTTCCAACAGAAAAATTACCTTTGCACTTGTGGCCCGGCATAAATTTCTCGTTGCAAGTAAAGCACAAGCCTTTCTCTCTTCGCCGTTGCATCTCATCATCCGTTAAACGTCTAAAGTTACTTGTTGTGCATGTACCTTCGCCGACTGTTGGTTTGATCTCGGCCCGTGGGGGCGTATCATCAACCGCGACGCTCGCGCGCCGAACGTCCGTGCGCCCCTCGCTCTCGCCTTCCGCACTGCCGTGAGATGGTCCTCGTGCAGTCGCGCTGCTTCCATCGCGGCCCTTGTTGACCTTGTCCTGTACAAACGTACCTCCGCAGCCAACTCAGCCTTCAAGCCTCCTACAAACGCACCTACAAGTGCCTTTTCGAGCCAATCCCGAACCCGGCTTGCAATCCTCTCAAACTCCTTCTGATAATCGCGTAGACTACCAGTTTGTCGGATCCTTGTTAGAGCCTCATCGTAATCGTAGTATTCACTAGATCCAAACCTGGCGATGAGCTCCTTCTCAAAATCTCTCCATCTGATTTGCTCGCCTTTGTTCTTGTAAACATGTGACACCCATTGCCACCATGTGTTGGCTTCACCTTCTAAGTAGTAGGCGGCAATCTGAACTCTTTCAGACTTATGTACCTCATTGATCTCGAAAAATTGCATGGCACGACTTAACCAAGCATCCGAATCTACTCATTCGAACGTCAGCATCGTGATCTTTGGCCTCGCATGTACATGCTCCTCGCAATGATGCCAATGGCCGTGCGTCCTTCAATCCCTGTGGTGTCAGGTAGTGCGCGTCGCGCGCGTTCCCCGCGACTGTTCGTCGTCGTCATCGCGACTGGACGTCGAACTGCCCGTTCCCGCCAAGGTTGATCTCGATGTGCGGCTCCTCCGCGTGTGGTGGGTGACTCTCTCGAGTTTCCCGCCAAGTCGTGTATCATGAGCTCCAACTTTGCCATGTTCTCGTTGACCACGTGTTGTCCGTTGCCAAGGGACCTCACGCTTTCTTCAAGCATATCGAACCTTTCGCGATTCGTCATGACTCTCACTCTTTTTTTTTTAAGACTCTAAAAATTCGAAAATAAAAGAAGAATAATTTGAACAAATTTGAATCAAGGGGAGGAAAAAAATAACAAAAGACTAGATGACACTTTCTTTTTTACTCACGAAATTTTTTGAAAATTTGAAAAAAAAAATCAAAAAAATAAAAAGGACAAAAAATTGGACCAAAAAGAAAAAGAATTGGATAGGAAAAGTTTAACGTAACACACAATCAATCACTCTCAATGAAAGCACCAATGATGAAGGATCGTGTGTTGCGTTCCACTCGACTTGTCTCGAACACGGCTTCGCCACGGCCTTGCTCTCGACGATAGGTGTGATCGACTCGGTTATTAGCCTAACTCTCTCACGATACTTGAGTTCACTAAGTAATTAGCCTCGCTCACTCGATTTTGAACTGGCTCGGGTCTTAGCCTCACCAATTCGATTTGTATGATCGAACTCTCACGAATCCTAACACACGGTTTCGAACAAACGTTCTTTTCTATTTCATCAAATCCAAGACATGAAAAACAATGAGGGATGCTCCCTATTTATAGATCCTAACTATGAATAATTCTAATCTACCTAGGAAAGTTATTAAAGCAATAAAATATTAAATTCCTAAACAATCTAGATATTATTGCATGAAGAAAATAGAATCCTAATAAATTAGAAGGTCTTGATCTTGCTTGGCTTACACTCCAAACAATCCCAACTCATGCCCAAGTATTTGGCCGCCTCATATGCGCACTGCCATCGCACGCCTAGTCCTCGGCGGCTTAGGTCTCTTGCGCGCCCACTTCGCACGCGCTTCAGTGCGCGCGCCCAGTCCGCGCCTGAATTCCTCGCGCGCGTGCGTGCTACCACCCTTGCCTATGCCTGTCGCGCATAGTCATGCGTTCGCCCACTCGCGCGCTATCACGCACCTCTCGCATCGTCTGATCTTCTCGCGCGCGTACGTACTGTTGGAACCCATGAGGATCTCGATATGCACAAACACAGACAAACATTCAACATAAACCTATGCGCAGCGGATCTAAAGGTTTGATGAAGAAAACTTACTGCTTAAAATTTATGTAGATCTGGCTGGCCCGGACAGTTGACCGCAAATCAAATCTTCTCGGAATCGAACAAACTTGACCAATCCAGAAAGCTGACGTCACGGCGAAGTCAACGGTGTTGACCGATCAGAAATCGGAGCGTTCACGCGCTCTCACGCGTGCGCGTTATCCTCGGCAGCTGGAAACCTCCGGCGGTGCGTGGCGGCGCGTGCGGCGGCGTACGGCGGCGATCTCGACGGCGATCTCTTCGTCTCATCGTCCTGGTCGTCGTGGTATGGTCACTTGCTGGTTTTGGTCTCCGGTTTGGATGTATGATTGGAATCTCTATATACCTTAAGATCTTCTACTGTATTCTCAAACAGCTTTCTAGATCTTGTATCAGTGGAACACAAGAAATAGAAGAACTCCTTGGAAG